TTTATGCCTAGTCACAATATTTTTATAATTAAAAATACCATATCATTTGTTTTATTTCCAAGTAATATTTAATATTAATAAAAATTGAATTTGTTAACGGAAAATTTTGGCATGTCAGCATTTAACTGACGGAAGGACAAAATTGGTTCCAAAAATTAAAGTTTAAGGATATTTTTAGTACTTTTTGAAGTTAAAGGGTAATTTTAGTCCAAAAATGAAAGTTGAGGGACTGAATTGGGGATATAACCTAAAAGAAACCCAACACAGGTTGGGTACCAAAGTGTGAAATTTGATACCATAGTGCTAACTCTAAAAAATAGGAGATTATGCGGGATCGAGTATATTATTGACGAAAGATGAAAAGAGCTTACAATAGAGAAAATGAAGAAAAATAATCCCCTTTCTAAGTCTAATATTAGAGTATTTATAGGATGTTATGTAGAATCATCTTAGAATTACAATTTTAGTTGGGTCGGTATTGGATGTCTTGGTTTTAATAAAATTTAGCCTATTTAATGTTAATAAAACTCTTTTAGGATATCTTCACATGTCATAATTTTCATAAAATTCAATTTAGGGTATAACAAATAGTATCGATAATAATATCGTGGTGTTGGCACTTCTACCACATTGTCCAAATCCAAATTAATTATCCAACTCAACAGCCACTTTTCATTTTTTATGACACGTCAGCAATTTAGATGGATCCCATAAATGAAATCCGTCCACCAACTTAGCTCCAACATCCCATTAATTCTTGAATAGTAAAATCAAGAAGATGATATCCTTGATTAAAAACTTTTAAAAGATAAAAGATTTGATTAGTTTGAAAGAAAGATAGTATCCTTAATTAGAAAAATTTTTTAAAGTGATATCCTTCATAAAGTGAAAAATCTTATTAAGCGTAGAAGGAAAAAAAAAAGGAATGTGGTAAGGGCTGAATAAAATAAATGAAAAGAAAAATAAATAAATAATAAGGATTGAACATTTGAACAATCACACAACTCGGAGAAAACATTTTCAATGTCATGCTCTAAAGAATGGTGGTGATTCAAGGGAGATTTTCCGCAGGATCAAAATCCAATTAAATTAGAGGCTTCATGCTTCTCGTACATTCTTAGTGAAGGACTGGATGCAATAGTATTTTTCCTTTATCTAAAAAACAATTGCGTCTTATGAAACTGCACTAAATTACAAACGTAGAGCACAGCACGACCCATCATCATCAATTCTGCAAACAAAACTATGTCACAGATTCATGTTCTCTTAATTCCCATTGGGTCTAACTAAGTTAGAGGTAGGGGTGTTCATGGTGTGGTTTGATTTAGATTTTAATATTTTTTAAATTAATTCAATTTAATCAATTAAAAAAAATTTAAATCAACGTAATCCACTATTTTATGATAACTAAATTAATCCAATTGAAATTGGATCGGTGTGATTCAATCGAATTGATCAGTTTTTAATATTATTAAATATATGAGATAACGTAAAAAATTTTAACATCAAGTAAAAAATATAACTATAAAACACACTAAGATTCAAATTAATAAAAACATAATAAAAGGCACTAATTATAAACAAATTCTTAATCTCCTTTATAATTATAAAGATTGAAAAGATCTGAAAATTCTTTTTGACTACATCACTAGAGGCACCAAGAACAATAAAAGATGATTCTAAAGTTTCAAGTATAGTGCAAATATTTCTTAATGATTAAAACTAGCTTTTTTTCTTAACACACCAATGATTCAATCCCCTCTTTCGAACCGGGCCTTTAGGCCCAATGGTTCGACCTCAAGTCTTAAGTGCTTGGCTAAGATGGTCGAAATTTCGAGTTCTACCACCGTGAACTCCACCAAAAAGCGGTCCGATGGCCGCGCGCCTCATTTGAGTAGGTGAAATGTTCACCCGATCTGAGATCGAATCCCCAGTTGCTAACCACTAATTCAGACTAACTTCCTAAACATTACCCTTGTCAAAAAAAAAAAAAAAATCCCCTCTTCCAAACTCTATTAAAAGTAAATAAAATTTAACATGAATATTATTAAAATTGATTAGAAGCATTCATAATCAAGATTTAAAACTTCTCAACCAAACATCTAAGAATAGTAGAATCTCAAAATTAGTTCTATTATGTAGTTTTAAGACTTAAAAAATGATATTTCTTTAAGGCATAGTTAGAAGAATCAAAATATCATTTTAGGAACAAATTAGAAATTTAGGGTTCTAAAAGTAGAGTCATGAATTAGTTTTGAGGGGTAGAGTTATAAGTGAATTAGAAATTTAGAATTAAAATTAGAGTATATGATTAAAGAAAAATAAATTAGGGAATATAAGGATGTTCTATTTTTATTTTTTAACTAAGCTAATAGATTTATTATTTTGTAAAAAAAGAAAAAGAAAATTTAAAGTACTACAAAAATATATTATATTATTTAATTAAGTTATCTTGTAATTGGATTTTATTTTGTAATCAGGTGGTTTGGACAGTTTGAAAGTAAACCCACAAACCAAACTAGTTATATTGGTTTTAAAATTTTATAAGTCAAACCAACTTAATTTATATCAGTTTGGTTTGATTTTTTATTAGATTGGATTAGTTTGAATCCAATCAATCAGATTGGATCAAATATGAACACCCCTAGTTTGAGATATAACTCTAAATGACTGGTCATATAAATCACATTTATGGTGCTTATGAAGATGCATTCCAGTCGATTTGGCAAACAGATTGAATCAAATGAGTTTAGATTGTGTCATTTCAAATTTTGAATTTATTAAGTTGGGTCATTTTAAATTTTGGGTTAAAAAATTAGACTCATTAGCTAGCCACACAAGTTTCAAATTGGTTTGGGTGGACCCAACTATCAAAACTTGATTTTTTATTTAGTTTATTTTGGTTTTTCATGAAAAATAAAAAATACAAAATACAAAATTAATCAAAAATCATACAAAGTTATAAAAAAACACACAAAAAACAAAAAAAAAATATGAATTTTTTTTTCTTTAACTAATTTATTTTATTTCGTTTCGAGTTTTGCGTGCACCAAAAAAAAAAAATTGTGAAGGGATTGAAAAGAGAAATTCAAGAAAGGGACTCAATGGAAGGAATTCAAACTTCAAGGTCAAATTACAAAATTCATGACCTTGGAGCTCAGCCCGTTTACACCTCAAACCCATCTCAAGCGGCCCATAATCCTTTAATCCAAAGTCCAACCCAAACTCCCCAAAACTCTTCGTTTCTCCCATTAGATACCCATTTTATTGCTAAAAAAAAAAAACAGAAGAATTATTCAATCTCTCTCCCGGCACAGATTCCTCCTCCGTCTGCTTCAACCATTCGTCGCCGGCAGCGATATTCTTTCCTTCTCTGGTCATCATCACTGTCTTCCATGGCTTCCGATTCCTTTCATCTCCACCAAATTCTCACCTTTCACTCTTTCTCCCTCAATCCTTCTCATATTTGATTTCCCCTCTCCATTTCGATTTCTCTCTCCATCTTTAATTTCGAATTCGTGGTCACCGGCGGCGAGTCGATAGTTGAATCGATGAGAACAAGGCTTGATCTGTCGAATGGTGATGGTAGTGGCAACTACGTGCGAATAGTGGCAAAACTTCAAAATTCCGAACTTGTTCAACTCCCAGATGAGTTCCTGATCTGCAGCCTGCATTCTTTCTGTTCTTCGACGAATTTGACCTCTTATCAATGTTGATATGAGGTCGGTTCTTGCATATCAAGGCCCAAGTTGTAGTCCGGGGGGCCGGGAAAGAGTAGATCCAATTGAGCAAGGCTTCAAGGAGTGTCGGCCTGATTTTAAGAGATGGGTAGTCGGTGATTTGGGTATTTTTAGGGTTTGATTCTTGCTATAAATAGGAGACTTATGGATTTGGAAGGGGAATTTTCTCGGTTTTTTTGTTTTTGGCTTTTTGAGCAAGGTGGGTAAAAAAGATTCCGAGAGGAGAATCGAGAAACCATTCTTGGAAGGGGGCTGATTCTAGCCTTGGGTGGCACTGGAAGAATGGAAAGGAGATTGCTTAAAATAATAAATGTAAATATAATCAGATTTAATGTGGTATAAAAATCGAAATTAATTTGCTC